TAACATAACATGCAGATCTAGGAAGGTTACTGGAACAACCACAGCCAACTAGGACATAATTTACTCTCAAAGAAAAATTTTTTTTTGGACTGGCACTCATAGGATCCACATCATTACTGATACTTGTTGTTTCTGTAAGAACGCGTTCCCTTAGCATCAGACTGAACCAGGAACGCACACTGAGCACATGGCCACGCCTCCCAGGCCGGGGGCCTCCGAGAAGGTGCCCAGTTGTCCCCGGCATCCTCCTGTTCCAGTTCTGGAAATGTCAGCTTTGATCTGCAACTCCATGTGTCTGCTCTGGCTGTCAACTTCACGTGAGTGGAGTCCTTGAACCCAACTCACTGATGATGACCACCATCTTATTCCTCACAGGACAATCAGAATTAGCTCTCCCTATTCCCCCTTGATTCTTCACTAACGTCTCTCATGATTCAGGACACAGAAAAACATACTACTCCCCCACAAAACACACTACCAGCATTTGCTGACACGTTGTATAAATGAATGCATTCATCCCTTGCTACCTAAATTAGAAAAACCATTTCTCTCTGTGGAGAGTCTTGCCTCATTATACCGTATTGCTTTTTTTTTTTTTTTAAGATTTTTATTTATTTACCTGAGAAGTAGAGTTACAGTGAGTGGCAGAGAGAGATGTCTTTCATCCACTGGTTCACTCCCCAAATGGCCACAATGGCTGGGGCTGGGCCAATTTGAAGCCAGGAGCCTGGAACTTCTTCCTGGTCTCCCACACGGGTGCAGGGCCCAAGTGCTTAGGCCATCTTCTACTGCTTTCCCAGGCAATAACAGAGCGCTAGATCGGAAGAGGAGCAGCCAGGACTAGAACTGGCGCCCACATGGGATGCTGGCACTGCAGGCAGAGGGTTAACCTAGTGCACCACAGTGCCGGCCCCTTTTGTTGCTTCATATCCGTCTGTGTGCATGCTCTCTGGCTTTTAGGACCCTGTGAACTGTGCATGGGGACCCTGCTGAACACCCCCATAAGTCTCAGACATCCAGAGCTCAGACATCCAGAGCTCCCTAGACCAAGCAGGTCCTCGTTACTTACTGACTGACTGGTTATATACTCATGCAAATCTTTACTCATATCCCTATCACTGTGTTCAAATCAAACTCCACCAAAAAATCCGAATTCTTCACCCTTCCTGAGAGACTACGGTCCCAGTTTTGTGCTTGCTTTGCAAAGAGGAGACATTCCCCAGAAACTCCCTCCCCCACCACAGCATGGGTGTCTTCTTTAGGAAATAATTCATCACCAGACCATCTCCAAAGACTCTCTCTTTCTGTTTCTCTCTCCTCCTCTTTAGAAACCTGAACTGAAAGGCCTGATTCAATTAACTTTCTTCTGACTGTGCTGTGTCATGTGAATTCTTGCTTAGGTCAAAGTTCTTTGCCTCCCTCCTAGGCCTGCCAGGTCTTCTAGCAAATGTAAACATCTTCCCCAACCCTTCCACAAATAAATGCCCAGCTCTCACACTCCTTTGCCCCTTTGATTCTGTTAATATGGATTTTTTTCAATTAGCACAAAAGCCATTGAAACCCCTTTTTAAAAGTCATTGTACTAACAGGATTTTCTTTTTTTCTTAGAATCCAACCCAAACTTTCCCAGTCCACCACCACGCTGCCCTGGGACACCCATGCCGTATGTTCTATCTCTCTGCAACTATGGAATTAAATCATGATTGTCCACTTACCCGTTTCTTTCCTGGGATAACTGCCCCCAAGGCAGCCGAAGCAGTGACTTTCAAGTATACTTAAAAAATGCATTTGTCAACAATATATAAGGGTGCTTGAACAAGTGGGTGGGAAAATGGCATCAAAAGAAAAATGGAAACATAAAATATAAAACAGTAATCTCCCCAATATTTTCTTAAGTTTATTATCTAAAATCTTTGATTTAAAATTTTAAATAATTAAAAGGATCCAACTTCCCATATATTGTAAATACTAGATTTTTTGAACAGGCCCAAATGTTACTATTTGGATTCAAACAAAATCTGAACCTAACCATCTTCCATTTACACAAACATGCCCATCTTCAAACAAACCGTAGATGCTTAATAGTCTCTGTCTCTGAACTCTATTTCCCTATTAGTTCTCACTCAGAGTTGTTTTACAGGTTTACTATGTGTTTATTTGAAAGGCAGAGTGACAAAGGGAGACCCACATCTTCCAGACACCGGTTCCCTCCCCAAGCGCTTGCAACAGCCTGGTCAAAGCAAGGAGACTGCAGCTCCATTCAGGTCTCCCAGTGGGTGGCAGGGACTCACGTCTTTGTGCCATCATCTGCTGCCTCCCCCGGCCCATCACTAGGGAGCAGGATGAGCAGCTGAGAAGCCTGAACTAAAACAGCGCTCCAGTAGTGCCGTGTGTATCTCACGAGTGGCTCAACTCACTGTGCCACAATGCTTACCCTATTTTTTAATGTATTATACAATTACGCTTAAAAATATTTATCATTCCATCTTCCTCTAACAAAAATATGCATTTAAGTAAATTAATTTGAAAAATTTCCTGCAACTCTAAGCCTGTAAGTATTCAAATTTGAAGTTGGTATTTCTATTCCAATTATTACTCCTTCATAGTTACTTGACACATTATAAAGCAGAACATGGCAGCTACTAAACATTAAACTTTACCACTTAATAATCTAAGTGGAGGTCTGTTTCCACTAAATTCAGTTACAGGAAGCTAAATGCTACCTTTCATTGACAAAAGACAGCATGCGTCATTCACATAGACGCCCCATATAAATAAGAGCAGAAGCAGCCATGTTCTAAATGACTTTGAATTCCAAAGTTATCAATTATCACAGTGTCCTATTATCTGACAGGATTTTTAATTATCTATCAGCTGACAACTCAACTAGGGCCTCCTTTAATTTGGTCAAAAGCCAAAGAATTTAAACACATCCATCATCTGGGCCACCTGCCACTGAAGTCATTCACTTGCTCAGGATCGTGCAAGTATAGCAGAAAGATTTATCAACGTGTAGCCAAGCGTAATTACCCACTGCGCGTACTCGTCCACACAGCGCCTCTCTGCTCAACCTCACATACACAGAGAGTTACAGGGAGGGATGCCTACATGGCATGCTGGAGCCCAAGCCTGAGTAGTGGCTGGAAGTGTGTGTGCGTCTGTCTGTCTGTCTCTCCCTCTCTCTCCCACACACACCCCCACCCCAGTACCTTTCAAAGAAAAACTAAGAAAAATAAGGATATGGGGAAAATGACCTTCATCAAGGAATTTTTCCTTTTTTAGATTACTTATTTATTTGGAAGGCAGAGAGGGCTACAGAGAGACAAATGGAGATTTCCCATCTGCTGATTCACTCCCCACACACCCAATAGGGCCAGGTCAGGCTGATGTCAGGAGCCAGGAACCCCGTCCATGTCCTTGTGGGTGGCAAGGACTCAACCACGTGAGCCATTACCTGCTGCCTCGCAGAGTTCACAGCCGAAGGAAGCTGGCACTGGGGACCACAGACAGGGCTCAGACCCAGCACGCCTAAGAGAAAGGTGGATAGCCCAAGAAGTTTGCTAACCACTACACCAAATGCCCACCCTGGTCATTTTTTTGTCATTTAATCTAAATATATTTTTCTTAAAACCTTGAGTTCTAGATTTTGTTTGTAGAAAGCCCGTTGTAAAACCCAATGGGAAAACTAGACCTCACTATCAAGACAGTGAAGCACATCCGGACACACAGATCATGCATCCCTACGACTACTCACTGCTCAACTGAGAACATCACTTCCTCCCTCTAACTCACAGAAATATCTAGAAGACAGGGCAAGCTGTGACACCCAGCGTGTCCAATGACTCCTTTCTAAGAGCCACAGGGGTCTGCACATAGGGCACATCGTACGATACTGATGTATAAACGTGATGTGCACAAGCAAAGCCAATTCAGCGAGGGGCACAGACGTGAGGTGAGGCTCCAGACTAGACTGATTGACTGACATATTTGAAAGGCACAGAGACGGGGCCAGGGGATCCACAGACAGAGATCTGCCATCTGCTGGTTCATTCCCAGTGCTTCAACTGTCAAGGCTGGGCCTGGCTGATGCCAGGAGCTTGTGACTCAACCCAGGTCTCCCAAGTGAGTGGCAAGGACCCAACTACCTGAGCCATCACCTGCTGCCTCCCAGGGTGTGGGTTAACAGGAAGCTGGCACCGGCAGCAAAGCCGGGTTTCAAACCCAAGCCCTCCGATGTGGGATGCAGGGGTCCCAAGTGACGTCCCAAATGCTCCACCAAACACCCGTCCCCACGATTCTTTTAAAAACTGTGGTGCCCATGTTCCCATTATTAGCTGCTCATTTACCCTTAGCAATACAAATCAATCACCTATACAACAACATAGTTTAATAATACCATCTCACTCATTACATAAGTAGTTATTTTAGAGGGCCACAGATCCAAACCAGTAATACTTTCTAATAAAGTCCTCACCACCCACAGAATAACTATACTTTGCATTAACTAACTGAAAAAATTCTGCCGAGTCTCCAAGACTGTCTCTACCACTGGGGGAATGTCATTCCAACTTCTTTGGGCCATCCTAGCACACTTGCAGATCTGCATCATAAATATTCTAAGTAGCAAGCAGAGAAGAGATAAAATGCAAACATAAAGCATGAAAAAATGACTTTGTGTAAAAAGTATTTCAAAATGCCCCTTGCGGGTTCAAACACATTAGGATTTAAATTTCCTGCAAATCAAGGATGGTGGACACTCGTGGCCACCTGTAATAGCAGCAGCGGTTCCTTAGAAAAGCAGTTAAATCCTGCAGTACAATGAAGCCAATTTGAACATTTAGAAAGAAAAGCTGTCAGGCAGTGTGATTTAAAGATAGATAAACGCATGAGTTGAGCTCTGAATTCATATGATTCTGAAAGGGGGAAAATGCCGAGTTTAGCTGATACACCCAATGCATATGCTTTGGTTCATCATTTCACGGAGTCCCAGTTGTACTCACCGCCTCAGTGTGAACAGGATGTACAGCAAACAGCAGTGCCGTGACAAAGCCCAGCCCGCGGCTCTTGAAGACGGTCTTATCGCAGGTGTACATCAGCACGAGCGTCACAAGGCAGTGCAGGACCACGTTGACTGCATGAAAGTAGAAGGGGTTCATGCCAGTCATCAGTATGTTCAGTCTGTAATCGAGAAAAACGAGAAGCAGTTCCATCAACCACTTGCTTAGAAAAGGAGCTACCTTTGACCGTAAGCAGTGGGGTTTCTTCACTTTTACTTTATTTGATTTAAAAGGCAGAGAGCCAGAGGCAGAGATCTTCTACTGACACATTTGCTCCCCCAAACACGCAGAACAGCCAGGGCTGGGCCAGGCTGAAGGCAGGAGTCCAGAAATCCATCAGAATCCCCCACATGGATGGTAGGGACTCAACTACTTGAGGCATCATCTGCTTCCTCCCAGGGTGTGCATTACCAGGAAGCTGAATCGGAAAGGAACAAGGCTGGACCCAAAGCAGGCTCCCCCACATGGCCTGGGCAGCCCACACAGCATTTTCACCACCTTTCCCCAGTGAAGTATTTTTAAATGAATCCCAACACCAGGTTATTGGCTATATTCAAGTATAGAGCACTTGTTTGTGTCTGCAGATTATCTGCAGAAATCAATGCACATACAATATTATTTCCAGAAACTTTGGTCTCTGAGAAGTCTCGCCAACAGGTGCTAACCCTGTTTTACTCGCACTCCAGGGCTGATGCAAACACCCCCAATCTTGCTGCTTTCACTGCCGGCTCCTTCCATAGCAAGAAGTCTTCATGAGGGACACAAAACAGGAGACTGCGATTACTCCACAGCTGGTCAAACCTGGCAAGAACACTCGAGGTTTCACCGATGGTGCCAGTACCAACCCTGGTTCCACATTGTGCATTTGCAAGTACCATCTGATTACTGGACCAGAGGGGATCTTTAGGATACCTATAGGGTACGACCATCTGCAGCTGAGATAAGAAGGTAAGAAAAGCATAACACGTCTGAAGTCATACTAAAAGTTCTCTAACAGAAATTCCCCCGGAAATCAGAGGCCGATTGCTAAGACGATGACAAAATGAAAAGAGAACCACAGAGAGAAAGAAAATCAACTGTCCAATGATTGAGAAAACACTTTTAGGGGGCCAGTGACGTGGCGTAGTGGGTAAAGACACCACCTGCAGTACCGGCATCCTATATTGGTGCCAGTTTGGGTCCTGGCTGCTCCACTTCCAATCCAGCTCTCTGCTGTGACCTGGGAAAGCAGTAGAAGATGGCATAAGTGCTTGGGCCCCTGCACCAGCATGGGAGACCAGGAGGAGGCTCCTGGCTCCTGGCTCCGGATCAGCTCAGTTCCAGCCGCTGTGGCCATCTGGGGAGTGAACCAGAGGATGGAAGACCTCTCTCTCTGCCTCTGCATAACTCCTCTCTCTCTCTCTGCCTCTGCATAACTCTGCCTCTAAAATCAATAACTACATCTCTCTCAAAAAAAAAAAAAAAAAAAAAAACCACTCAGGAGACAAACTCACAACAGAAAGTCATATGGGGTTCTCTTAAATATAACAGCAGGACATTTCATTCCCAAGTCAGTCCCTGGTGTTGCAGAAAAAAATACACACTGGCACAGGGTCAAGTTCTGAGAGGAGCCCCGTGCACACCCTGAGTGGCATGCTGGGAGGGGGCCATTCTCCAGGCTGTTTGACCAACACATCAATCCCAGCTCCTGAAGCTCTCGCCTTGGATCTGCCTCCCTTACATAAACAGCCCTTCTTTGTCAAAACAATTGAGAATGCACAACTCCATCGCCATGACGACACACGCATACTCGACATACTTGACTGGACGCGTGCACAGCTTTAACCTACAGATTTTTAAACATCTCAAGCTCTGTTTGGACACATGAATCCAAACAGCATCATTACTAATCAACTCCATTTTCACTCCTGCTGAAATAATTAGGGACCATAACGCAGCCTGAAGAAACGAATCGCTGGGTGGGATCCAACCATAAACGCTCCAGCATCACGAGATGCAACCCAGCCGCGTGCCAGCAGACGCACGAGTCGGCACCCGCCACGGCTTCCTTCGACAGGAGGCTCATGGGAAATGACCCTCCCAGGAACGAGGATGGGGCCCTGACCCAGGGACTTGGCAGCTCTAACTACAGCCCCCTCCAGTGCAGCAGGCCCATGCTGGGAGGCAGAGCTCCTAGAGCTGGAAGCTGGGGAGAAGAGAGCTTTAAGAAGATCAAGACCAAGGCACAGTCCTCAGAGAGCACGCATGCACTTCCCCAAGAGCCTGGCACCCTGAGGTTGATTTCACATCATTTTCCACTCCATCAGGCTGAGTTTTCCAGACGAGCTAATCATTCATGAAAAACTCATTCCTGCCAGGAACGGTGATGAGGAGAGAGAGGGGACAGGCTCACATGCAGCTGGGGAGAGTCCAGGGTGGAAGGCGGGCTGGCCAGCGAGATGCAGCAAGGCTTTCCACACTGCACCCCCATGGACCAGGAAGTCTACCTCTGGGAACCTGCTGTGAGGAACTGACCAGAGGCGTGTCCAAGGACTGCATAAACCAAAATGCATCTCACAGCTTCACTATAAAAATGGCAGTAAAGACAAAACCAACCCATCTGGTACAAGAGGTCTTCCAGCAATTTACAGAAAAAGCATATTATGAACAAACTATCCTTGGGTTTCGAAATGTTCTTGCAGCTAAATAAACCTATCTCTAACTCCATTTTTCCCTTAAACTTTCTCAGATCCTCTCGTAAGCCAAATCCTTGATGTCTCCAATTATTCCCACAGATACTAAAACTCAGATCATACATTTGGGTTACGAGAATAGCACTATTTTACAGAGAGGACAAAAGTGTCTGTTACGCAACAGTTTAAAAAGCATGCAGCATCATTAGGGAGGTGTTATTACTACTTCGCCAGGCTTTCAAGAGGAACTCAGAATAGATTCCCTTTCCAAAAACGGCAGATGTGTGTCACCTGTGGTCCCCTGGCTTCCTAACAGAAAGCGCGCGGGCGTGTCCACATAATCACCACTCCTGGAAACTGGTCCAGGTAGAATGCTTGTGCTCTAAATAAACCCAATTAGATCCCAGAATGAGGACTCCCAGCAGTGATAGGGCAATTGTGGCAAAGCTCCTCATCTGATACACGGCACTGGTGAAACTGAACGTTTCAGAACCACCCAGAATCCGCACTTCAGGAGAATTTCCCAAACGTCTACAAATGCAGACAGTGTATTCTCCAAACGCCAGACAAGGGAGCTTGAGATGAAATGTTAACAATGCATTACCACATATCCTACTGTGAACACAGAAAAAGTCTCACATTCTGGAAGGTGATTTGGGATCGCAGAAAGGGGGCGCTAACTGATGAACCTTGAAATTTAATAGGCGCGAGGATGTGAGAGATGCCTGTCAAGTTGACGGACAGATGGAACACCATAGGGGGCGAAGTTTCCCTGAGCACTAAGTGTCTTTCTTGAGTGCTGGTTAGACTCCCTGCTGCTCCACTGCCCATGCCGCTCCAACGTGCTGGGGAAAGCAGCAGAAGACGTCCTAAGCGCTTGGGCCCCTGCCACCCACGTGGGAGACCCAGACAGAGTTTCAGGCTCCTGGCTTCTGCCTGGCCCAACCCTGGCTACTGCAGCTATGTGGAGAGTGAACCAGAAGATGGAAGATATCTAGCTCTCTCTCACCCACTCACTCCTTCTTGCTCTCTCCTGCCCTCTAACTCTGCCTTTCAAATACTTTTCTTAAAGTATCTGAGTATAAACCAAGATCCAACATCAGTGTTGCCAACAGGATTCTCAAGGACCAGTTTAGCCATCAGATCATTTTGCTTCACCTTTGCAACATGTCCCTTATAATCATTTAGCCACATCTTTAAAATGGGTCTTTGAGCCCCGTGCTGTGGTGCAGCGGGTAAAGGCACAGCCCACAGTACCAGCATCCTATGTGGGTGCTGGTTTGAGCCCAGGCTGTTCCACTTCCAATCAAGCTCTCTGCTAACGTGTCCAGGAAAGCAGTGAAAAATGGCCCAAGTGTTTGGGAGACCCAGAAGAAGCTCCTGGTTTGTGGCTTCAGCCTGACCCAGCCCCGGCAGCTGTGGGCATTTTGGGGAGTGAACCAGCGGATGGGATGGAAGATAACTCGGAGCCTCCAAGGAAACATGGACACACTCGGGAGCCCATCTGCTCAGGACCTGTGCTCACCATCTGCCCATCTCTGCCACTGCAGAGCACAAGTCTCCCCTGGAGTCACCATTCATCACCACACACTGCTGTCTCCCTCTTAGTAAGGAGGAGAGAGAAGCAGTCTTGGACCTGAATTATGATCACACATGGGAAATACAAAGACAGTCCAAATGATTGCTTGTTTCAGGAAAAATGGAAGGCGGCACATTTCTGCAAGAGGGGGATGTTCCCGTGTGCCCAACAGGCAAAGCTGGACATGTCAAAGACGGCACGCTCCGGCCAGCTCATTGCTCCCAGGGACTCCAGCAGTCGGACCCTGGGGGCAGGTCTCAACCCTCAGGAATTCAGCTATGATGACGTGGGTTTCAGCCCAAAGACAAAAGTGACACCTCAACTAGCAAACATTTATACGTTTAAAACTGGACAGGAAGCTTGGAAAACAGACATGTCCAGCAGAAGTGGGATGAGGACCACCTAAAAACAACATCTCAGCGTCCACGTCACCCCGAACTCCCTTCACAATGGCACTCGGCCAGTTTTGAAAAGCTCCTTAGCAGAGCCAGCACTGTGGTGTAGCGGGTAAAGCTGCTGCCTGCAATGCCAGCATCCCTTATGGGCACCAGTTCAAGACCCAGCTGCTTCACTTCCGATCCAGTTCTCTGCTAATGACCTAGGAAAGCAGCAAAAGATGGCCCGAGTTCTTGGGTCCCTGCATCCACTTGGGAGACCCCAGAAGAAGCTCCTGGCTCCTGACTTCCGATTGGCCCAGCTCCAGCCATTGCAGCCATTTGGGGAGTGAACCAGCAGATGGAAGGCCTCTCTCTCTCCCTAACTCTGCTTTTCAAAAATATAAGTAATTCTTTAAAAGGGGGACGGGGCTCCTTAGCTACATGCTTCAAAAGTTATAAGCAATTTTTTATATTGTAAGAAACCTATTCCTAT